GGGACGAGTTTAACCTCTCGCGAGCACTAGCTCTGAAATCACAAACATTTTCATTATTCTTTTTATTTTCTCCCTTCGATTGATCATTTTGGGTATACACGGAAATTATCCAAGTGTTACTTCCGTTAACACTGAGCCAACCGAATAGGGAACTCTCCCCGCTATGAAGTAAGTTGCTGCACGACCGAACCGGGGAGATTTCCCACTTTTCTCATAGCAACGCGTCGCCTTTTATCATAAGTCTAGCTTGAACTGGAGTTGTTCGCAATTCATAAAATACCGATTTCTGCTTTTGTAAAACACAAACAGCGTACGGTCAGGCGTGGCGCGCGCGGTTAGCTAAGTGCTAAGGGGGTATATTCCGGTTTTGAATGAACCGTTAAACTTTATGACACATTTATGAGTATTTGAAATGCGTAATATATACAACAACAATGATATTATAGATAACAATGATTTTTGCAGTCTTACAATTATTAGAAGACGTATGGGGTGAAAAGTAAAACTGTTAGTCCCGACAACGTGAGTCGCATACGGCGCAAACTGAAAGTCACCGAAAATCGGTCCGGCACGGAACGTGTTAACCCCTTCACTGCAGCAAATTTTAATACGTAACGCGCATGGCAGACAAAACGGTCGCAAAATTAAGGTAAAAATGCGCAAAGGATAAAATTAAGGTGGTAGTACGAGAAAAGGCGCGAGCAAATTTGCAAAGTCGAATTAGACGAGGACGCCTGACTGATGGAAGAATCTTTCCCCTTGGTTTTCCATCTCTAGGCCGTTAGTAATGGTAATACTAACGTCTCTACGAAATATCAGCTCGGAAAGCGCTAACAGCAACGAAAGGGTTAAGGGAGCACTCGAGTGTGTAAATGTCAAAAAATCAATTTTTACATAAATTAAAAGCACAGGTAGTTCTCGTCTTTAAAAATTAATTGGACCCTGGCGACCGTTCGTAAATCGGGAATTCGTCTAATCTAACTGATCATTGCGCCATTACATACTGCGTGATTCCCCGTACAATTTAAAATAAGAATACCGATCGAAAAAATTTGTAAAGCGGAAATTCATGAAATAGAAAGCTGGAAAGAACGCTAGGAATAAGGGTCTGATTGATCATAGTGTAACAGGACCACCTTCTCTGAACACAATCATAAAAACAGGGTACACGTATTTTTGTTATTAGGCTAAACGGTCACGTCGATAAGTAGAATCATACAGCATTGCGCGACGAAGATGACCAAGTAATATAGAAGAATAGCGAATGATCCAACGAATTTCAAAGCAATTCGCTGTTTCATGTATCCTCGATAGGTAAATCTCTGGTGTATGGACAAAAGACTACAAGTGAAATTTTGGTCAAAAGAGGATAAGTACACTAATATATCCTACATTGCTGTCCTTTGCTTATGGTTCTACAGCCCCTGGCCAAAAAATTATGTACCACTCACAATTTTCAACATCTTTCGTGTTTTTAGTAAAATTTCAACGAAATTTAATTACAAATTTTGTTAATTGTTGATGTATTCCACACATACGTATTAATAATTTAACTAATCTTATTATTTTTTTTTATTATGTGAGAGATAGAATTCCTGTGATCAGGCAACTCGATCGATATGAATCCAATTGAGAATGTCTGGAGTTTACTGAAAACACTTGTATACACATACATCATTAGTTACCATATGAGCTGGTTTGGGGAACACAAATTATTATTGAAAAAATAAAAATTATAATTAAATTAAATCACGTTCAGGCCTTTAAAAGACAATGATAAAAATTGACCAATTTTTGACCTGGCTGGCAACGAAAATTTCTTACAGAACATGATTCTACAGGTTTTGAAGAATCCGAAATGCATAACCATTTAGTAGTAAAATCTAAATTACTGTAAAAAATTTTCGTTGCCAGCCAGGTCCAAAATTGGCCAACTTCTACCATCGTCCTTTTACTAAAATCACGAAAGATGTTGAAAATTGTTAGTGGCCCCAACTCTTTGGCCAGGGGCTGTAATAGCACAAGTCAATTTCACTTCTAAGATTCTTTGGAAGTGACGTGGTGTAAAATAATTACTCGCGAAGGTTGCTTAACAGAAATATATATTTATTTAAATCAGATAACGCTTAACCTATTTTTAATGTATAGGTGACACGATGCACGTAGGAAGAATGTCCGCGACAAAAAGCCTCGTGCCTTTTTCGGGGCTCCCTTAAGTAGCCCCTTTTTCTCTGGGAATGTCCCAGGAAGTGGAGGGCGCGGGCCTACATTGCCAAGGCAATACTCTTGTCCTCGAGGACGAAGAAACCCAGAGATGTTCGACTCTTCGCCTCGAGGGCCAGGTACGTAGACCCCCTGTGGCGGTCGCCACAATTCTAATAGTATACGTCAAAAATACAGTATAACAAGTATAATACCGTACATGTATCATAAACGCTTCTCTGCAAAACTAACAATTCTGACTTATCCTCGTCTTCCCGTCCACCAGAGAAGCATCATCCTCGAATACTCTAATGTCAGCGTGGACCGCCAAAAACATCGACCTTTGAATGCATCATTTTTCCAAATATACTAAAATTTGCATACCACAAATCCGTAGAAAAATAACACAAAAAATCCATCTCACGTTTTTCTATATTTCTATTTGAGGAAAAGGATTTGTTGCCGGATGGCCGCAACGTGTGTACGACACGTAAACAAATCTTTATTCATGCATTCAGAAAAGTGGCAACAAAACAAAGTGTCAACTTTTCAGCAAATATTAAATGTTTGCAAGGTTTGCTACTATGTCCTCTTATCGAGGAGAAAGTTTCCGGTGCGTGATTTCATTAATGAAACAGCTGCACTTGATACGTCCGCACATTTTTAAAAGCCTCGAAAGTGTAGATAATTCTGACGCCATTGGTAACACAGCGCACGTTGTTATCAATGTCGAAACTAATTTTAGATATCCCGATTAATTTCACGAGCGTTTATAAACATATATATATATAAACTGCTAAATGTCTTCAATCGAAAAGAAATGTTATTTTCAAAAATTCATCGAACAATTGATAAAATCCATCGTACAGCTACAGTCGGCCGCATAAGTGTTCGTCCACCTATCGCACTCAGTGTATCTGTAGGTAAAAGTAGGAAAATATGCAGATGAAATTTGAAAAGAAAATGTAGAAATGAAACTTAATTTATACAAAATAAGCTGACATTTTGCGGGATTCATAACTGTTATACATAATGAAACGTAATTAACGAACACTTTTGCGTTCGAATTTCCCGCCACATTATGATACATCGTTTAATTTTTCATTATCAGTTATGATTATCAGCATTATCATAACATTATTCAGTTATGAATCCCGCAAAATGTCATCTTATTTTGTATAAATTAATCTTCATTTCTGCATTTTTTTTTTTTTTTTTTTTCAAATTTCATCTGCATATTTTCCTACTTTTACCTACAGATACACTGAGTGCGGTAGGTGGACGAACACTTACGCGGCCGACTGTACATCTATGTAAATTTCCTTTTTAAAATGAAAGTGTTTCGTTTCAATTCAATTCGAGTATCCCGCGACAGCTCGTGAAACATTTTTTATTACTCTTCGCAGAACTACACCCTCGCTCGTAAATATTAGAACACTTACCGAATAATGTTCAACAAACCTAACCTAACCAGTCGTTAGAGAAATGATTAGAATCCGAAGAAAAATTATTCGGTCTGAAATAATGTAACCAAGTGTGTACGTATATTTTTAGCGAAATATATATATATATATATGATATTAACCTTGCCAAATAAATGTAATTCAAATCACATATTGCGTTCAATAAGGAAGATAACGGGTGTCCCAATACTTGTGAACGGTAGTGTACTTTTACGCCGTAATAACTTCACTGTAACTCCATACTTATACATACACCAATGCACGAACAATGTATTCATTGATCTATGCACTTTATCCACCGCAAATTTGCACAGCTAAATCGTTTTTCTATTTACCTGTTTATGTGCGTAGTATACTCGTTTAACTCTGCCACGCCAGATTTACACGTTTCGCTATTTCCATTGTTCTAAGCATAGTATTATATTAGGCTTATCATGCTTCTTTTCTTCTTTTTTAATTCAAAATAACGTCTAGTTAGCTATGACGTTCGAATTTTATTAGTTGACGACATTCGTTTTATTTTAATTACTCTGAACATTTGAGGTTAGGTTAGGTTACCGATGACCAACGTGGCAGTCAACGTGTTAAAACTATAGTGACCGAGAGGTGTTTGCAACAACTTCGAAGGTTATGAAAAACAAACTGCGTAAAGCAATGCTAAAGCAACAGGCATAGTTAAATGATTGTGGTTTATAGATGAACGTAGTGTGTCCACAAATTGTGTCGATTTAGAAGTTCACAAAGTTCGAAAATTTTACGTCCCCTGATTATGTCATGGATTTGTCCCTGGATTACGTCCCTTTCATGGATTCTTCATTTGTAA